GGGGAAGTCGGTGGCAGGCACTGGGGAAGCCGAGCCGCCAGCCGGAGCCGGGCGCCCAGTGTGTGCTCGCCTCTCCGGGAAATGCCATCACTAATTTATGCACTAAAAGAAGCCGGCGGAGCTGGAGAGGCGCGGGGCCGAGCCGGGGAGGCCGGCGCAGGGAGGGAGGGCGCAGGCACTGACTGATGTGCAGCAGAAAATGGCTCCTTTCCCCTTCCCTCCACCGAACGGCTCCATATTGCAAAACCAAAAAAAAAATTAAAAAGCGACGAAAATGCAATTGTGTGCCTCCTCCCTCCTAGTTGTGCAGCGAGGGGACGCCAAAAGGCAGGAAATGTTGGGAAGTGCTACTGCAGCGCTTTTGGTGGGGAATGGATATATTTTTTAATTTGAAATGCGATGGCACCGGATGGAGACAGACGCGCAGGCACACACACACTCACACACGCGCGCACAGGCATATTTTTGTGCTTCTGAATATTTGGGGGTTGCTTGCCCGTGACAGCGGGCTCTCGGCCTGCCAGGGGCTGTGGGGGTCCGCCAGCTATCGGATTAGGGATCAAATAGAGACCGGCTGAAGCTCCGGTGAAGCCTGGGGGCCGGGCCGAGGAGGAGGAGGGGGACTGCGACTTTGCCATTTCGGCTGCTTTGCACGCAGGATGCCTCGTGGACAAAGTGTCTTGGGAACGTGTCTCAGTAACGTGCTGAAAATTCTTGACAACTGCAAAATAAACTGCTGGTTGGCTTTTCCGGGACCCGCTCCCTTTCCTCCCTGCCCTCGTGTGGTTATTTGACTTTGGTGGCTATCGGGGAGTGTGGGAGGCCTGCGGAAGGCCAAGGCTGTGCCCCCCTCCCCCATCTGCAGCTTAATAGCTTTCGGTTCAGGAAGGCAGCGCGGGGCCTTAAGTCCTTCCCCACCTGGAGGCCCAGAAGCTGGCCCGCTTGTTTTACGCCTGTACCCTCCCTTTTGCCTTGCAAGATATAACACGTGGGAACCTGAGGAGAATATCTTGGACCCCCGGCTACTGATCGCCTTCCAGAACAGGTGAGCGTCCCCCAGCCGTCGCCGCTCTGACCGTATATGGAAAAGGGAAAGTGGGCGCCGCAGCAAAGGGAGGGGGGAGGGTCAGCTGCGAGCGAGCCCCAAACCCAGGCCAGACTGGGCCCCTCTGCGATCCCGCAGCCTCTGCCTCTGTAACCGACGTCCTTGGTGGTGGCTGCAGCCTGGGGTGGGGGCGGGGCCCTGGAAGGTGAGGCTCGCCTTTGGGGCGAGGGGTGGGGGTAGTGGGGGCGATGGCTGGAAGGATTTGGTGTGAGTGGCCTTGGATCCCAAGCCCCCTCTCCACGTCACGCCCCTGCAGCTCTACCTCCGAGACCAAGGCGTTGCTCTTGTCCCCACTGGCTGCTGGCACGGCCACCTTGCCGGGGCAGCTCCCAGGGAGCTGGTTGTGAAAGCTCCGGACGTCACGGAACTGAACTTAACCTGTTGGAAGCTGGAGAAAAGTTGACTCGGGGAAAAGTTGTTTCGTTCCCCCCCCCACCCCCACCCCCTAGGCAAGTTGGCATCTTAAGGAGGGCATGCTCTGTCTAGCCCTGAGGCCTCTGACCGCCCCCCACCCCACAGAGCTGCTGAGGGGTGAGAAGCCCCTTCTTGGGTCATGGATGGAAGGGCAAACATGGCCCAATGGTTGTGGCTGCGTGCTGCGGGGGAGGGGGGTGTCTGACTTTGGAGGGGCTCATCTTTATGCATACAGACGCTTTTCCCTGTAGCTGCTGCTGAGGGCCGGCTGGAGAGGAGTAGAGGGGCTGAGGAGCTTGCCCCATCCCCTTTATTTTGCCTGATTTCCTGTGGCGCGTCTGACTCTACAACTGTAAACTTGAGACCCTCTGAGCCAGCGCAAGCAGAAGCTGCTCCCCTGCTAGGGGCTCCACTTGGGGGTTCACCCTGTAACTATTTCAGCAGCTGATGCCAGATTGCATAATCTCCCCCTGGAGAATTCACACGCAGGCTGTTGCAATGCCACGCAACTCCGGAGTCAGGCACGGGCCCTGACCCCAGGGCCTAGGGGGAACCCTCCCTGGGGAGCCCTCAAGCCGGCGCGGGCGGAGGCAGGGGCGCTGTAGACCCGGGAGTGGGCAGCAGCTTTGGCGAACTGCACGCCGGCCAGGCGCCCCTTAGCCAGTGGAGGGCCAGGCCTCTATTGACCGGCGCCACCGCCTGCA